ACGCTCGACAGAGGTAGCCGAACGTTTACGCCTATTTCTCCGCGACCAGAAAGAATTTTTAAATTCTGAAAGATTCTCTCACCTTTTTAGGCCATTTCGCACCTATTGCGCACTTTCCCCGTTAATTTTTAATACTTTGTTTTTTAAAGTGCTCACGGTAGCCCCAAAAGTGGGTTTCTCGCTGACCGGGATTTTTAAAACAAGTTATAATAAAAGTAAATTACCTCAGAGTGGCTATTATTAAAGAACTAGGCAGGGTTCTCAGCCAAGGGTGTCTAATGCCTTATGAAGCCTCGTGATAAAAGTTTTCTGGTGATTCAGCTGTAAGTTTACGGACTTACAACGCTAAAATCCGGTGTTCGATTCCCCGCGGCGAATAGTACGCAGTTAGCCCAATGAGTAGCCTTGTGTTAAAACAAACGAACAAACAATCGAAAACGTTTGGTAATCACCGATGTAAAACACGGAAAACATGGTTTAAGCATGTGAAAATGTACATCTTATAACTAAAGTAAAACTGTCTTAAAGATGTTAACATTATGTGAAGAAATAATTAGTATTATTTTGCTTAGTCATTTTTAAAATGTCACAAGTTATATTTGAAATCTAACAAAATCACTATAAACAACCACAAAGAAACAAAACTGTTTTTGATATCGATTTAATAGTCATGCACTGTGTGCAGCCCTATGTAATGCGATTGTATGCGTTGAATTACTCTAAGAATCCGGGAGATTCTTATCCATAGAAATAATCGGTTTAAACTTACCATTAACACTGGATAGCAGGAATATTAAGACCAAGAAAGCGGGAAATATTCTGAATCTACCTTCCATAATATCAGGTAACTTCTGTAAACTCTAGTTATGTATTTCCAACTCTCTCAGGCGCGAATTGACTGACTTGAATTTACCTTGAGCCTTATATTTTGAATGGAAAGGAATGAACAGAGTACTGACATTTTGTTTACTTCCTATCTAAGGAAACAAACGGTTGCTAGGATCACCGATCAACACTTACCTTAAATTGCAAGAGCCAGGCACAAGGCGGTCGATCACCATAGCAACTTTGAAAAGAAACTATAGCAAATTAATCTAATAATCTGAAAGTAAATTAACTTTTTTTCTCTCGAAATTCAAGTCAATTGTTTTACTAACTTTACACAGTTTAGTAAAGTGCATTTTTAGGAATAACCTAAATATATATATATATATATATATATATTGTTTTACTAGTTATTATTTTAATTCTTGAACTCTTAATTTATTTTAGTTACTTTTTATTAAATAATTAAAACCCATCTCAAAATTTCCTTTACTTTTCAGGTAATTGCTTCATTATCACAGAGTGTTTGCTGACATTTTATCAAAATAAAACAATCTCGTTTTATCAAAGTGTATTTATTAGCTCAGGTCATCACCGTTTCTGGACTGTAACTGATAAATTAATCACTTCTTAGGTTAGTTAACTAATGCATATCTCATGTGCTAACACCTGTCTCAGAATGCGCTAATACATATCTCAAAATGTGCATGATGAACTAGTTTTGATGACATTTGACACAACGATGGAAATTAATTTGCATACTATCATTTTCTCCGAGTTTTACAACATAAGCATTGTTCTTTGAGTTTTTTAAACAATCAGATATCGTGTGGCCTCCAAATTTCATACATACATGCTTCAAATAGTAAGATACAATATTTTATGATGTATGCATGAAACTAGACCGCTTAACGATTGTGAAACTATATAAAACTGCAATGATATTAATACATGTTATTTACACATCCTTGCTCATTAGTATATAACAACTCAACAGTTTGTTGTTATAAAGAAATCTGCACAATTCTTTAGTGTTTTGTATTTATGGTAAAGTTACTATGGCTATCTGTCGCCGTTTCTACTACTGAACAACTGACCATAGAAAAGGCAGCCACATAGCTAAATTCTTTATACTTTATCTGTTTTTTTTAAACAATACGAACATAGCTAAATTCTTTATACTTCATCTCTTTTTAAACAATACCCACATAGCTAAATTTTAATACTTCATCTGTTTTTTTAAACAATACCCACATAGCTAAACTCTTTATACTTTATCTGTTTTTTAAACATTACCAACATTGCTAAATTCTTTATACTTTATCTGTTTTTTAAACAATACCCACATAGCTAAATTTTAATACTTCATCTGTTTTTTAAACATTACCAACATTGCTAAATTCTTTATACTTTATCTGTTTTTTAAACATTACCAACATTGCTAAATTCTTTATACTTTATCTGTTTTTTAAACATTACCAACATAGCTAAATTTATGAAAATGACTTGAATATTGTATGTTTATTTAGTGATTGCTTGTGATTTAGCCTTTAAATTAGATATAACGTTCTTCTTTTGATCGATAAGATTAATTATGAGCTAACGAGACTAGTGCCTGACTGTGAGATCACTGAGTTGGACCACTGACAAAGGAGAGAGCTAAGTGACGCACGCAGGAGTTCCGTTTTGTTGACTCAGGTGATCAGCGACGTTGTTCGTTATACTCCTGTATATGTGATATAAGCTACCCACACAACTAGGTGCTATTCGGACTAATTTTTAAGACTTCCATCTACAAAGAACAAACACACACACATATACACTTACAAACATTACCATTTAAATACATACCGCATAAATATTATACATCAAGGTAACATTCACACATATTAATATATACAGACATGGAAAAACATACAGTGACATTCGGTCAGACATCATTTGGCGTACCTGGCTGCTACAATAATGTTTTCTGTCGCGAACGCGGTGAGCTTATGTAGTCTAACTTATAACATCAGAAACAGGTTCCTTAGAAATAAACATGTGAGAACATCAGTACATATTTACAATAAGCCTTATAAACTTACTTACAACTTTATACTGTTAAAGTTAAGTGGATTAATACAAGAAAAAATAACTTTGTGATGTTAGATGTCTTATTTCGTCGAACCATTTAAATTGTTTGTTTTG